AAAGAGGAGCAAACAAGGTCAGTCGGCAATTTAATTAGCAACACAACAATCAATTTTTCGTCTGCCTGGATGCATCAGATGGGGATTGTCTAGAATGGAGCTAGCTACGTACCAGCGCATTCATGGCACCAGCTTTCTTGTGGTGCGAATAGCCTGGTCTCTTCTCACGTGAAACATAGACAAGCCGGGGAAGCTCCTTGCCTTCGACATCAAGTGCGCCTTCACTTCCAAGATAAACCTGAATCATTCCAGGATGATCACGGGTATTGTTTCCAGGCCAGGGGGTGCCATCCTGCATCACCCATCCTTCTTCAGGCTTCTTCTGAGCTTTGGCGACCAGTGCATTAATTGTCACCTTGAACTCTTCATACTCTCTCTGCAACCCCAAACAATCAAAGTTAGCCCCTTTAGTACCATTCATTCATGAAAGAAAGAAAGACTATGTTGACAACAGACTGCTTACTTTCATCGCCCTCCGCTCCTTCACAAAGTTCGGATGAACCTTATCTTTCAAATAATCAATCTTCTGAGAGAAATAGAACTCTGGAGCTCTTGGCTCAACATTGTGTTTCTTGCAAAATGGGACCCACCTCCTAGCAAATTCAGCTGTTTCTGACAGTGTGTCAAAGAGAAGCATTGAAGCACCATCATCAGAGACATAGCAGCTGACTTTATCAACCGGATAATCGACTGCCAGGATGGAAAGAACCGTGTTAGCAGTTATGATTGGTGGTTCCTTGAGAGGGTCAACTGTGCTGACAAAGAAATCAACCGGGGCTAACTTGTTTGGTTCCCCCTCTCTTTCAAACCTCAGAGAAAGACGATCAAGGTAAGTTTCCCGATTGATCGGGAACCATTTTGGGAACTGATCAAGGATCCAAGACAAGGCAAACCATATCTCGCAGACCACAGAGATGCCCCATAGTGGCATTGCATCATAGGCTGGAGTTAAGATGCGGAAACGGAAAAAGAAGCAAAGAATGATAAGCCTGAGGATGATGACAATGCGGTATGGGTTCACTCTGCTTGAGGGCATTGGGACCTTTCGCCAGAGTGGTTGCCTTGCTTCAGCCATTCTACAGAAAGATATATGTATATATGATTAATGTGAGCTGATGAGAAGTCGACGGAAGCTACACCCAAGCTAACAACGATTAGAAAAGGAGGAAACTTCACTGACAAGTATTCATCTTCTTCTCCTTGATCATTTCCTCCTCCATCGTCCTTGCTGACAAGACCTCTCTTTTCCTGTCTCATCTTCCACTTCTCCACTCTCTCTGTCCATTCTGCATTGCTATAAGCTTCTCTTTCTGCTTCAAGATCCTTACCAGCGACTATATTTGAAGAACAGTAAAAGATATTAGTTTCAGACAAGAATTCATTTCGTTCATACGAAAGAGGAAAGCAAGAGATTATCAGAATACAATCGGATCGAAAAGATTAGCTTAAAAAGATTACCACTTCCAGTGGAAGAGAAAGCAGGGCCTCCTGTGTGCAGCTGTGGTTGAACGTAGTCCCTATTTTCCTTGCAACGCAGAAACTCAGCCTCAGATCAGTAAAATCAAGCCACTCCATCCAAAGTCGAGATAGAAAAGAGACTGGCCAAGAAATGAAAAAAGCACAGACAAATCGGTGACTTACAGAATGAGCAGCCACATCTTGGTGATTGGACTCATCCTGATTATGATGCTTAATCGGAAACTCATCATCAAAATCATCTGCACCATGAAAATCATCATCCTCGTGATCTCCAGGTACCCTCGGAGAACCTGCAACAAGAAGAACACAGTATAACTGCAACGGTCAGCCAATGCATAAAAGGAAGAAAGAGTCAGTTCTGGAGCTTCAGCTTGTCTTTCAGAACATGATACGAAATATTTCCTAGATAATGATTCATGGGGACGCAACAGGATACTGCCATATAGAGAAGTTCTACCTCTGTGGCGCTTATAGCGAGTGTTGCACTGAGGGCAGCACTGGTTGCCATCACTTCTCTCGTACTCATAACAAGGCCTGCAAACGGGGAACCCGCAAACGTGACAGGCCACAAATGGGGCTCCATCTTCCTTCACCCCAATTTCATCCCCGCAGACTCTGCACGCCTTGGGAGCAGCCGAGTGGCGGGTGGGAGGGCGCTGCTGACGACGATCAACACAGGCATTTCATCAAACACTACGTAGGCATGGTACACAAGACACAAACAAGAGAGAGTAGGAATTTACTTACCTGTAAGTTGTCATGGTCATCATCATCACCCCCAGAGTGGAAGGAACGGGGAACCACGGCAATGCCAGCCATGGTGGACGAGAGATGGTGAGAGGAGGCATGGGGAAGTGGGGTTAATAAAAGGAGGAAGATTTCGTTAATGGCGGTGAAGGAGAAGGAAGGAGGAAGAGTGAAGGAGATGGTGTTGAACCGATCTACCAAACTGTGAGGTGGGAAGTCGATGGCAGAGTGTGGTGTGGTGTGGGTTTTGAGTGGAAGATACGTTATAGCAGAAGAAAAGCGGGTATTGGAAGCTTTGAGCTGCTGGCATGGCGATTAGATCCCTAGAAAAGGTGTTAGCCATCCTTTTACCCAAAAACTAGCTTCTTCTCTAAGCATTTTCCGCTCTTCTCTCAGTTTTTCTAACGGGCGTGATACCAAACAATCAGAACATTATAAATCCCACTTCGCAGAAAGGATCGAAATCACAAATTTGTAGCCGATTGGGAGGATTTGTATGAGAAACTAAGCACAAAGTCGTGTGAGTTTTATCATTTGTGTTTAGTGATTTTTTTTCTTGTGCAATACAGCGTAATGATTTGTTTAATGTTTGGATGAGATTGAATAAATGACATGGTTACTAAAGAAGAGTCATAGGTGCATAAATTTGTCATTTGGCAATTTCGACCTGACTCGTTTTATCCGACCTCTTTGGCATGTTTTGGGATGGGACGGACATGGGTACTCTCATCGACATGCCCTAACCCGCCCCATTCTCGACCCGTTCTTGCCTAAATTACATTCTTAGTCAAATTACTTAGGATTTTTCTTTTATTACATTATAATTTAGCTATAATAAAGTTGTAAATTAGTGAAAACCTCAATTTCTCTAATAATTACATTTATTATAATATTGTTTGTTTTCTTGGTCTTATAATAAAAATAACGAATATTTCTAATGTTTTTCATATAAATTGCATACTCATTGGGTCGACCTGCCCCAACCTGCGACCCGTGATAAATTACCCGACCTGGACCAGACCTGCCACGGGCGGGTCTGGGTACCAAGAAACCCGCCCGTACCTGCCCATTGTCATTTATAGTTATTGTATGCTCTTATCTTAGTCATTCCATGTTCTTTTAGTCCTCATTATTTTGATTTTTTTTGTGTGTGTGTTAAAAACCAGCCTGATATTATGCTGAAATCTTTCAAAGTTATGGCTGGTAGTGATGGCAATGAGGTGAGGCAGGTACCTCAATACCCATCTCCTGCACCATGCTATTGCGGGCCGGGGAGGGTAAAACCCGTGCGGTTACGGGGCGGGGCGACTAACTCTTACATGTTATTTGAAAACAATACACGCAAATTTTACTTTTTTATGATAAAAACGAATGGGAAAACACTTTATGAATGAAAAATAGTGATAATAGAATGAGTAAATGAGTCTAACAAGTTGAAAGATCGACTCTAACTAGTTGAAGAAAAGCCAAAATGGGAGAAATATGTATAGATATTAGATAGTGTAAGAAATTGAGATAGAATGAGCCAAGATCGGGACGAGGCGGGGCAAGACTGGTCGGAAGTAGATACACATGCCCCGCCCCACGCTACTGTGAGAAACTTCTTCTTCTTCTTCAGATTTCTAGAGCGAGAAAGTGCGAACAAGAGAAGAGGAGAAGTTAGGGTTTCATCCAAACTCCAAGATTTGGGGATTTCATCCTCAAAGGTTGATCTCCACACCAAAGAAAGAAGGCACCCCTCTCATGATGGTCTCTTCTTCTCCTTTGTGTAATCTCACTTCTTAGCATGGAGTAGTCCTTCCTTTCACTTAGTGTTTGTAAACCCTAGCTAGAATTATGTAAGTGCTTGTATGGATTGAATGATTTGTGTGTGGTTGTGTTTTAATACAAGTTTTGAGGTACTTCATGAAGGTTGTATTTTGCATTTCCAACTCTTATGCTAAGAGGCTTGTAAAAGCTGGAATTCTTTGGCCAAATTGTGTCACCTACATAGGTTGAATTAGGGCAAACCTCATCATACGTATTAGCACCTTGGGTATATTGTATTTTGGCCGTCCGAACTACAGTTCGAGGGAGAAGCCTAAGCTACCCTTAGTCAATTGGCCAAGAGAGCTACCTTGGTATCTTGATTTGATATCACTTGGCCTAGTGACCGAGAGAGTGAAACTTGTTCACTTGTTGCGCTCCCCTAAGGTTTACAACCGCTTTGACCACACATTTGCATTTGATCCGACAGATTATGATTACTAGCTAAGGGGAGCACCATTCGGATGAAGCCTTCTCAATTAGTGTTCAAAACCATTTACTTTTCTAATTGCTTTCGATTTTAGTCAAAGTTTCAACCAAAACTCGATTGCTAGATAATGTTTCAACCAATTGAAGTAGGGGTACATGGACCGACCCGAATTTGACTTTTAAAACATACTTGCCCTATATTGCACCCAATTAAGATTTATATTTAGGTCCTAATAAGGATTTTTATTGTGATATACAGAACGAATCAACTCACAATTTTATTTGATTGAGTTTATTCTTATCATGATTCTCTGTTTCTAATCTCTTGTATTATTTATTCAGTGCATCGCCAATAATTTTATTTAGTCTTTATATTATATAATCCACCGCTAAGCTTCTTTATGAATTAAAAACCCTAATATTTGTCACTTGTGCAAATAAATGAAAAACAATAGAGAGATAGGAAACACAATTTCATAAAAAACAAGAAAAATGATTTCCACAAGCAACTGGTCTGATATAGTCACTGTTTTCTGTTTGTATTGTGGTAATCCTGATTAAGAGTGTTTGTTTCCATTCCCTTGATGAATATCAGGCAAAATAGGAAAGTCCTCAATCAACAAACCACAGTCCACAGCGCTTAAGCTGTCCCATTTCATATGTTATTCAGAGTGTTGTTCCTTTTCCTGATTACAGAGATTAATATCTATTGATATGATGAAGAAGAAACTTTCCTTCATTCTGGGTAGTCCTTTTACCTGCTGCCTCCTCCTTCTCGGCCTTTTACTGCCTCCACTTCACACGGAGTGCCTCCAACATCCGGTCTTTGACGGTGACGAATATCCAGCCTCCCTCCTCAATCGAAGTAGCTTTCCTCCTGGTTTTACATTTGGAACTTCTTCTAGTGCTTACCAAGTAAAAACCCTCATATGCTTCTGATTTCCCCCGCCATTAATCTTCTCCTTCTTCTATAGTAGCTACTTGTTTGATTTGTTTTACACCTCTGCTGTCTTTCTTTCGTTCTTTGTTGGGTTTCTCCCAGTACGAAGGAGCAACTTTTACGGATGGCAGAGGACTAAGCAACTGGGATGTTTTCGTCAGAGAGCAACCAGGTCAGACGAGACAACCCATTTCAATTTCGTGCAAGAATTCAATTTGGTGTGAGAATGTTGAAGTTTGCAACTTTCTGATAGTTTTCTGCAAATGCTTGTTTTTTGAGTTGACCAATTTGGAGGGGGTTTTGTTTTGTCTGTGGTATTGAGGGCAGAAAAGATTTTGGATCATACTACGGGGGATGTTGCTGAAGAATTTTACTATCGTTATAAGGTACAAGAATATGACTTGGGAGAGAGATTTTTCTTGTACTCTGCAGTTTGCAGTTTTCATACCCACAGAGATGATTTTCTCAGGAGGACGTCAAGCTGATGAAGGAAATCGGTTTGGATGCCTTTCGATTCTCTATTGCGTGGTCGCGTGTATTACCTCGTAAGATCATCCTTTTGACTGTTAGTTCTTGTGGGTGGAATGCATTCTGTTACCTATCGATAATTAACAAGCAGGATTGCCACCTTATCAGATTCTGATTCTGAATCAATTGTTTGATTCTTTTCCAGGGGGGAAAACTGGTTTGGGAATCAACAAAAAAGGTGTTGATTTCTACAACGGCCTCATTGATGAGCTTCTACTGAATGGTAGGGCACTGTGTCTTTCTTCCATTTCACTTGCTGACTTTTTGTGAGTTGGTATTAGCCCTCTTCCTATTTTTAACTGCTGTGAGCTGTACTTCTTGGCAGGGATAGAGCCCCAAGCAACCTTGATGCATTGGGATCTTCCGCAGTATCTTGAAGATGAATACGGCGGATTCCTCAGCTCGAAGATTGTGTGAGTTCTCAAGCTTATGTATATGCCAATCAAACCATTCATGCAATAAACTTTACTGTGTCATGAACTCAAAGGATCATGCAATCAGCTGATCTTTTCATTTGCCAGGGGTGATTTTCGGGACTATGCGGACTTTTGCTTTCAAGAATTTGGTGATAGAGTGAAGAACTGGATCACTGTGAATGAACCGAATTCGATTGCTGATAAGGGGTATGTCCAAGGCAATAACTCGCCTGGTCGATGTTCTAGCTATGTGGGTAATTGTACAGATGGGAACTCTGCCACGGAGCCATACATTGTGGTCCACAACATCCTTCTTTCTCATGCGGCTGCTGCAAATGTGTACAGAGAGAAGTATAAGGTCAGTAAAAATTGATACAAAAAACAGAATGTTAAGTCTTGAAGAATAGTTTTTCAAGTTCGTTGAAGCAAGTTAGTCGTTGATTTGGATTCCTGAACAGTAGATATATTGAGTGAACTGACATTGATGTTGACCTAGGCTTCTCAAAATGGAATGGTTGGTATAACAATGTCGACCAGATGGTATGTCCCCAAATACCCAACAAAGGCATGCAAAGAAGCTGCCTCCAGAGCTCTGGACTTTGGCTTTGCATGGTAAGGCATATATGATGACGACATCAGACTAAGAACTGAAAGCCCTTGTAAATGCTTTTCAAAGTTGGAATAATTTTGTAGGATGGCTCGTCCTGTGGTATATGGTGAGTATCCCGAGTCCATGAAAGCTCTGGTTGGAGATAGGCTGCCCAAATTCACAGAAGAACAAAAGCAGATGCTTAAAGGGTCTGTTGATTTCCTTGGAGTGAATTACTATTCAGCTTATTATGCAGAAGATGCCTCATCCTCGACTATCAACCCAAGTTACACAACGGATAGCCAAGTCAATATAACGAGTGAGCTGAGGAATCTTGACCATTGCCAGATTAGCAAGAGTACATATGCTATGGTTAAATTTGTACATGGTATAACTTTATTAATCTGTTTTTGCAGTGCACAAAAATGGAATTCCCATTGGTCAGCCGGTATGTGATCACCTCCCTCTGTTGAACATAAACATTAGACAGTCAATATGCACCAACAGGAAGTCCAGTCTTATTGCTTGAGGACTTCCGCAAGAACCAAAATAGCGAGGGTTCTTTGGAGTCCTAACATAAGATGTTTGTAATAAAGGGGTTTGACTTTTGCAGACTGCTTGTGACTGGCTCTATATTTATCCGGAAGGAATGCTTGAAATTTTGGTATATGTGAAGGAAGTGTACAATGTTCCAGTCTTCCTGACTGAGAACGGTAAAGAATAACACCTCTCTCGAAACTCGAATTTCATGGCTTGATGGAGTCTTCCATGATTCTATACTTTGACTTCTGCTGTTTACTGCTGTAGGGGTGGCCGATCTAAGCAACAACTCATTGCCTCTCAATGATGCACTGGATGATGAGTTGAGGATCAAATTCCACTACCTTCATCTCAAATATCTGTTGGAATCTGTCAAGTGAGCGCCTTCATCTGTTCTTTTTACAATTCAGTGTGAATTCAGCAATGTACATTTGATGCATGTATTGAAGGCGCTCTGGTTTCTGCAGGGCGGGAGTTGATGTAAGGGGCTACAGTTTGTGGTCATTCCTCGATAATTTTGAGTGGGAGCTTGGCTACACAGTGCGTTTCGGAATTACATTCGTAGACTTTCAGGACAATTTGAAGAGATATCCTAAACGCTCTGCCCTTTGGTTCAGAAATTTCTTACAGAAGCAGACTGCAACATCTGCTACTGCAACTCCCCTGTTGTACTCTAGTCAATAACTTGCCATGAACCATTCCGTTCGTTCACACGAGACATACATCGCAGCTCATGTTGTGCATTTGTATCTTATTTAGTATGCTCTTAACCATCATATTGGAATTTGTAAAGATCAGCTTCTAGCATTCATGGCAGTGATCATGAGTCTACAAGGAATCATTTTCAGTTTTCACAGTACTCTCTTCTACAGCCATCAGCCTGCTGTGAATACAAGGCTACTGTAAAATCTAACAAGAGATCAGACAAAATTGATTCCAAAAGTCAACACAACTATAACACGAGTGGTATCTTAGATAACATGACATAATGGTACTATTTTTATACTTCCTCATCTCTGTCTACCAGCAAACACAAATAAATATAGTGGTGGCCTAATATCGATACAACTCAGACAATGGCATTGGCAGCACTAGCAATTCTCGGCCATAGATCAGCACATTCCTTTCCAATTGGCCCAGTAATAGCAGATCCTGCAGATCAACAAAGGTAGGGCGAAGTTTATATCAGAAGCTGCCGGAAATGTACATCATTCACAATCTTGTGAAGCGTGAATTCAACACTCATCATCAGATGAGTTCAAGAGACCAACCATGCATATGGTACTACGGATATGGGAGTAAGATGAGCAACCACATTCATTCATTACAGTTATTATGGTAACCTATTCCAGAGCTTAAAACAAAATCATCTAAGCAGGAATGCCCAATGGGCGAGCAAAGACAATGGTAATAGAAGATTCACCAGGAGATGAATCAGAATCTGTGAAGACAATGCTAATAAAGCACAGTGGTAAACAGAAAGTTTGTAGTTGTCTTACCCTTCATTTCTCCTTTGGGGTTCACAATCACTCCAGCATTATCTGCAAGTGTGCAAAAGGTGCAATTTTAGGGGCCATTATGTTGAATATATATGAAATAGAAGGGCGAAATGAAACCATTGAGCATGCGGCAAGAGCAGAGAAAAACCCTAAATACTGTAACAAACAATAGAAATCCTTTCACATTATCAATTTAATAGAAGCCAAATAGACCGATCTAAGGCACTACCAAGCTCAATTCATTACTCATCTACTAGAAATCCAGGCACATCCAAATTCCAATCCCCCCAACATTGTATTCTCTTCCTAAGGTAAACTATGCAACCACCGAAGGAACCCCATAAAGCAGTTTCCAAGCAGACCTATAACTAGCAGTGGCTTAACAACGCCTCCCCAATGTGATAAATGAGCGGTAGAAATCAAACCCGAAAGGAGTGTGCCAGCAGACAGGTAGCACAATGCAGCTATACCCACACATTATGCTGTTTAAAACTGGCAATTTCTCATCAATTTATGCTTCGTTATTATCAGTGACAAATTCTCAAACATGGCCACTGAACTATTATCAGGAAGCAACAAGAGAAGTGCTAGCTAGCATAATATTAATACATTCAAAATCAACCCGAAACAAAAGGGAAAGGAGAAAAAAAACACGAACCTTCGAAGTACATGAACACACCATCCTTTCTGCGCCAGGGCTTCCGCTGCCTGACAATGACGGCAGGCATGACCTTCTTCCTCAGCTCCGGCTTCCCCTTCTTCACCGTGGCCATCACCATATCCCCAACGCAAGCCGACGGCAATCGGTTGAGTCTTCCCTTGATTCCCTTCACGGAGATGATGTAGAGATTCTTCGCACCGGTGTTGTCGGCACAGTTCACCGTCGCCGCCACCGGCAGACCGAGGGACATCCTGAACTTGTTTCCGGCGCTTCCACCCCTCCCTGAATAAATCAAAATAAGATGTTCAACATACAGCAATGGCGAATGGGAGAAACCAAGCAACAAACGAAAGGGAAGAGCTCCGATCTTGATCTTGTATTTTTACCTCGCTTCGACATCTTGCCCTTCCGCCTTCGTCTTCCTCTCTGCTACACCTCGCTTCGGCACTTCAATTCCGTTCTTTATATATGTTTGGAATTGGAGCTACTACACTAGGGTTTTCGACGATTCATGGCATAGGCATGCTAACTGAAACGTCGACGTTTCCAAGGAGAGATGGTAACGGCGCCGTTTTATGTTCATCCCTCTGTTTAAAGAAAGTAGGAGAAAATCGGGAGGAGAAAGAAAAAAGCGGAGCCATGTCCTTTATCGGCGCTGCTAGCTGCTGCCATTTCCCGATAATCTCCGGCGCCGTCATCGGCGATGCCAACGCCGGTACTCGATTGATCAGTCCGACGATGTCGATGAACCAAAATCCTTCCCAGCCTCCTAACCCGGCGACCCTCCTCACCAGCATCACGAAGCTACTATGGGGTCCATCTCTTCCGCCGGGGCTGCTCATCTCCACCGTCCGTACGGGATGGAATTCGGCCTGGAATCTGATGATGGCCCAGCTCGCTCCCTCCGATCCCTCCGGCAATTACTCCCGTCCGGCTTCCAAATTCCGCCTCAACAGCAGCGACACCACGAACCCCCAATTTTCTCGCGGCAGCCTCCACCTGTACGTCGGCCTCCCTTGCCCGTGGGCGCACCGCGCCCTCATCGTCCGAGCACTGAAGGGACTGGAAGACGCGGTTCCCGTCTCCGTCGCAGGTTCCGGCCAGGATGGGTCGTGGGAATTCCGGGACCGGACTCCATCTCCGGATGCGGATTTGGGTGTCCTCGTCCCCGGGAAAGATAACGCGAACGGATGCAGGACGTTGAAAGAGGTTTACGGGCGGAGGAAGGGCGGGTACAGCGGCCGGGCGACGGTGCCGATGCTGTGGCACTCGGAGAGGAAGGAGCCGGTTTGTAACGAGAGCTACGACATCATCGAGTTCTTCAACTCGGGCATGAACGCGCTGGCTCGAAACCCAGAGCTCGATCTGTCGCCGGAGCCGCTGAAGGGGGAGATTGAGGAGTGGAATCGAGTGATCTATCCCAACATCAACAACGGCGTCTACAGGTGAAGTGGGTACCAACAATTTTGCGTGCAAGGTGTTTGATTAAATGTCTCACAGGGGGCCAGTTCAATTATTTTCCCTCTCTCCCGCAGATGTGGATTCGCTCAAAGCCAGGAAGCGTACGATCGAGCTGTGAACGGTCTGTTCGCGACGCTGGATAGAGTTGAAGATCACCTGGCGAGTTCCCGTTACTTGTGCGGGGAGGCGCTGACCCTTGCCGACGTTTGCCTGTTCACCACACTGATCCGGTTCGACGCCGTGTACAACGTTCTGTTCAAGTGCACCAAGAAGAAGCTGGTTGAGTACCCCAATCTCCATGGCTATATGCGGGAGATTTACCAGGTACGAACACCCATGTCAACCTGTTCACGCTTTGGAGCGTGGTGATTCTTTCATTGCATATAGGTCTCATATTTTTTTGCTTTGTGCAGATGCCAAAGGTTGCAGAAACCTGCAACTTGGGTGCTATCATGGATGGCTACTACAAGACGCTGTTTCCACTGAATCCAGGCAGCATCTGCCCGGTGGTGCCATCGGGGTCCGAGATCGTGAACCTATCGAAGCCTCACAACAGAGAATCGCTGTCAGCTGTCGTCTGTAGATAAGAGAATTTACGGAACTCTGCAGCCTCGCCTGTCTGTAACTGATCATTACCACGCTGCAGGCATCCATTTACAATAGTTGCTTTGTGTTCATAGAAGATGAACTCCACACTGAAATGAATCCGTCCATTTATAAGCTCGGCAGTGAGTTCTGTCTTGTTAATGTACTACGCTATCGATCAGAATTTCAGTTGTTTGCTCTTGCTGATCAGTGAGTGGCACTTTACAAGCCTATTACTGGTTTGTATGGCTGGAGAGGATTCACCGCAATTTTCCGACGAGTGAGAGATACAGCAAGATTCGTTGCTTCGAGGATTGTTGGATCGTTTGATGGCCTCATCTCGATTTCTAAGATTTCCTTCTGTTTCTTTTCAGTTTCACTGATTGTGGGAGCTTACTAAGGACACCTGACTCAATAAAGAGTTGGTCAAGGTGCTGGGGTTGTTGCATGCTTTCTAATCTTTATGGTTTTTTTTCTTCTTTTCTGTGGTGTGGTTTCTTGCATTTGTGCCTTGTGTTTGCTTGTCCTCCCTAATTAATGCAACCCTTCCTCATTTAGTGAACAGACATATATTGATCCTCCCTTCCCCATTTTTTCATTAAAGACCAAAGTGTACCTCTCTGTCCATCTCCTCATTAATGGTACTCAAATCATCTAAATTAAAAAGTAATTAAAATGAAATGTTTCTAATAAAGCTAGTGTTAGCACCCTAACATTTCTCTCTACTTTAGTGTTTGGGCTAATAATATAATGATGATTATATCCTTCCATAGTATTGTTGGGAAATTTTTTTCTCTTTCTACAAATGTAACATCATTTTATTACTTTCCATATTTGTGAACATATAATTGCTGGAAAAAATCTCTCAAATCAAAGGAAGATCAAGAGAATATTGTTACATCAAAGAAAGTATAAATAGAATGAAGCAACAAGACAATCATTACGGAAAGTGCTAGAGCAATCCTACACAAAGCAAGATCAAACACTTTGTGACTAGTAATAGGTGTTAAAAGTGATAGGAGTTCATCGTTTGTATTGCTCGAGTGATTGTGAGTTGTGTAGTTTCTCTCTTTAGCACAAGTGCTTGTGAAGTTGTGATGAAGAGAGAAAGAGGTATATTGCTCTATTCTTGTCAAGGGTATGAGTTCCACCCATAAGGACTCAGCTTGGAGTTAGATTGGAATAAGATAAAAAAAAAAAAAAACTTAGACACTAGGTATCAAAGGATTAGCCACCTTTGAGCCAAGACGTAAAGCAATAGTCGTACTCGGTTAACAAAACATTCCATGTACGTGCGTCTCTCCCTACTCATATCTATCGTGTGTTTGCTTCTCAACACGAACACTACCTTGTCTATTCAAGGTTTAAGATGACTGGATAAGAGCCAAAGTCCATCTCGTGAAACTCTTGTGCTTTAGCAATAAGTCAAGCCCAACACACAAGTCTAGACGACCGGTACATCATTAATCATGTTTCTCTCTTTAGCACAAGTGCTTGTGAAGTTGTGATGAAGAGAGAAAGAGGTATATTGCTATATTCTTGTCAAGGGTATGAGTTCCACTCATAAGGACTCAACTTGGAGTTAGATTGGAATAAGATTAACAAAAAACCTAGACACTAGGTCTCAAAGGGTTAGCCACCTTTGAGCCAAGACGTAAAGCAATAGTCGTACTCGGTTAACAAAACAATCCATGTACATGCGTCTCTCCTTACTCATATCTATTGTGTGTTTGCTTCTCAACACGAACACTACCTTGTCTATTCAAGGTTTAAGACGACTGGATCAGAGCCATAGCCCATCTCGTGAAACTCTTGGGCTTTAGCAATGAGTCAAGCCCAACGCACAAGTCTAGACGACCGGTACATCATTAATCGTGTTTATGTATCTCATTTATAAGATTATTAGTGCGATACACGTGTTCTACAATTAGTATCAGAGCTGGTCTCTCACGATAAACAAGATCCAAAGATAGAAGCTACAAGATCATGAACCAGAATAATGAGTCATCTTCCTCCAATGACGCATGCTGAAGGACAGTCTGCAACACGACCACCAAAACTCGACAGTAATAGTTATGCCTTTTCGAAATGTTGCATGGAAGATTTCCCGCAAGCCAATGACATGAAGGTATGGATCAATATCAAAAGAGGACCGAAGAATACGTCAAAGTAGCCATGTGCAAAATCGCAAAGGAAATTTGGGATACCCTAGAGAGTAAAGACTACATATGAAGGTAGGTCTTAAGTTAAAGATGCCAGGATTAGTAAGAGAATATGAACTGTTCAAGATGAGCAAGAATGAAAATATTACTGAAATGTATGAAAGGTTCACAAATATAGGAAGTGGGTTAATGACTCTTGGAAAACTTTACACCAATACAGACTTAGTTAGTAAGATTTTAAACTCTTTACCAAGATCTTGGAGACAAAATGTAACGGTCATAGAAGAATCCAAAGATCTTGCTAAGTTTGAATTAAGTGAGTTAATAGGCTCACAAGAGGAAGGTCTAGCCCTCAAATCCCATTTGATGGAAGATGAAGAAGAAATAGAAGAGCAAATACTACTTCTTTCAAAGAAACTAGGGTTTTCGCGATTCAAAAGAAATCAAAACACCGATTTTGGAAGATTCAACAATGATACAAAGTTTTATAGAAAGCTCGACAATAGAAACAATAGTAAAACTAAAGGATACAAAAATGCCATAAACACCTAGAAAGATATTGTTATTTGTTTCAGGTGTGGAAACCAGGCTATCTTAGAGCCGATTGCCCTCACAATAAGTATGATAAAGAAGGAGCTATGGCTGCCACTTGGAGCTGCAGGGGCCAGGGAAGAAGGATCATATGAGTTAGGATCCGAAAATGACCACCAAGGCTACGTGGAGCTTGTAGAACAAAACCACTTCATACATGCATAGACTATGATTCAGATTATTATTTGAGTTCACCTAATATAAAAAATAAGAGTTTTGGCACAAACGTGAAAGTTTTGGCTATACAAGTGTGTTTTGCCTAAAAAATAAGAGTAAAAATGATAAAACTCACAAACACGACCTCAAGGAGAAACTAAAAAGAACAAAATGTATGTTTAGTGAAATTATGAATAGTATAGACGAGCTAGAGAACTTTCTAGAAAGCCTCACTAAACGAGTAATTCAACTGGAACATGACTATAAAAATTCTTCTCTCTTTCGACTGTCTGGTGTGACCAGTTCCCTCCCTTCTACCATCTGGCATCTTTAGAACTCCACCCCAGTTACTTGTACAAAAAGTCATCATTTCACCGTCCTATACTCCTATTTCACTAAACTAAACTAAACATGGTTTAGCGCATGCCTAAGGATTGACGGTTGAACATTCTTGACATTAACTCGGGTAAGCTTTCTATCACGATTGGGATTCCTTACTTCCCTCTCTCTCCAACGTAGTAAACTTGCCGTCTCTAGACCTTCATGGCAATTACCCTAAACGGTAATCATGATTGACGTGTCCCCACAATCTCTTGCCTCTTTCCTTCCCACGATTGGATTATCTTCCCCTTAAAATCCTTTTCATCTCCTCAGCATTTTTTTACGGATTATCTCTCATCCAATATTTTTTTCATCTATTTCTTGTTCAAATCATCTAATCACTAAATCTTGAACCTCCTTCGACTATCATGACAAAGACGATAAAATATTTTACTCAAAATGTTGATTGTCGCTCAATTCAAAGACAAGCTGACTACTACGAGTTCTATTGCTAAATCACCATTCTAGCAAAATTAGAGTTTCTATTCATATCTCATCTTTCCTCTGAAGTTCGCTAACGGGGCTCAACTTGGAGTTAGATTGGAATAAGATAAAAACCTAGACTAGAGAATAGATCTCAAAGGGTAAGTCACCTTTGACCTTGAGACGTGAAGCAATAGGCCGAACTTGGTTAACAAAACATCCTATGCACGTGTATCTCTCCTTACTCTCCTTTATTGTTTATTTGCTTCTCACACCAACATTACCTTGTCCATTTAAGCTTGAAGACGATTTGATAAGGGTCAAATCCCATTTCGTGAAACTCTTTGACTTTAGCAATGGGTCAAACCCAACACAAGTGTATTTGATCTGGCCATAATTAATCGTGTTTATTTATCTCATTTCATATGATTATTTGTATGCTACACTGCGTGTTGTAGGATTATCACTGGTTAAAATATCTCATAGATGAATTATATGGAGATGTATCATATAAGTTTTAGAAATAGTTATAAAAAAAAAAGCTAATCCAGTAATCCTAAATTACTTTTGCGTGCACAAATTGATAGATTTATTTGTCATTGTAATTAACTAATTATATTGAACATGTTTAGTTAAAACTAAAGATGAACTATGACGGGACGGAATCCTTGTACCATTCAGCCGGAAACCTCCCTCTCCTCTCCTTGTCCGGAAAAGAAAAGAGGGAAGAAAATCAATTAAAAAGGGGGGCAATTTTCCGACATGAAACCCTGCAGAGCGCTTCCCGTCGAGTTTCTTGCTTCAGCGCATTTCAACAGAGAACTAGAAGGGCCGAAATCTGCTCTGCGAATCGCGCGGCACCGTTGTGGAGGAGGTCAAGATGAAATCGGCACCGCGGCGGAACACCCTGGCCGGGTACCTGGACCAGCTGGCCGACTCGGAGAAGCACAAGGCGCGGGCGAGGGAGGCGGCGCTGGAAGGCATGGTCCAGGAGCTGGCCAGAATGCTGAAGCGGGACGAGGAGTTCCTCGACTCGAATCGGATGAGCTTGGTGGACCAGTGCCTCCGCGTCGTCAAAAAGGGGCGGTCGGCGGCGGAGCTCTTGATGGCGGCGCGTGCGATTGGGCTGGTGGCGATGATCCTCGATGACATGGACGCTGCTCACGAGATCTATCGCGATTCCGCCCCGAAGCTGTTTGACGCTGTGAAATCGAGCAGCTCCAAGTTGAAGCCGCCCGCTCAGGTCCTCGAGTGCTTGGCTGTCCTCACTTTCTTCGGAGGATATCTCTCGGAGCACAGGCTGGAATCAATGGCCATGATTTGGGCCTGCTTTTTCCACGATTCTAGTGACGATGGCCAAGGTACCTGAATTTTTTTTTAATACCTTTTTTACCCTCAATTTTTATTTAATTTTTTTTTACTGCTTTCACAGGGAAGAAGAAAGAGCATTCACCAGAACTTGTTGCAGCTGCCGTATCATCTTGGTGCTTCATTCTGTCCAGCGATCATTGTGGTATCAGCCGAGCCCACTGGCTAACAGCAATTCCTTGCTTCTTCCATCTTCTGGGCCACGACAACGAATCCGTCGTCCTTGCAGCAGCCGAGGCACTAGCTCTCGTCTTCGAGATTGATTCGCTCATGAGTGTTCCCAACTCTGCTGCTGTGGACGATAACGGTGGAGCACGAGGAGAGTCGTCATCGTCTTCATCTTCTTCATCATCTCACCCATCCAAACACGACATTGCTAAAAAACTGAACGAGAGGATGCTTGCGATGGAAGCAACCGATGATGAAGAGGGAAAAGAGCAACAAGAGAACATCGCGGCTTCCAGGCTAGCGTTGGTGGCTAGGTTCTTCGAAGAAGGCAGCTCTTGCAAGAGTTTGGAGGTGACGAGGAAGGAGGGCGTGATGTTGACAACGTGGTCGGAGAGGTCGCAGATGGCATTTCTAGAGGGATTTCTAGGAAGAGAAACGTTAGCAGAGCACATCAAGGTGAACAAGCAGCTGCAGAGTATGTTCAAGTCGAAGATTGCGGCGAAGAAGAAGCTGGTGGGTGAGAAGCCGACGGTTATGGCCTATGACGTAGAGAGGGAAGAAGTGAAGTCTTGTCTTCTTTACAAGCCAGAACTGAAGTGGAAGCCCGACGAGGATGGCTCGCTATATACCGAGGGGAGCAAGCAAAGGCTGATCCAGAAGAAACTCACCCAATCGCCTGCGTCTTGGTTGAGCAAGGCGAGGACTCAGCACATGAAGAAGCTGCGCCAAGTAGCAGCTACTGACCGCAGCAAGAACGTAATGGATCCCGACTACGACTAACTCCACAAACTGACCCCAAAACTCCTGCACCTTTCTTTCCTTTCCAGTTTCAATTTTTTTTTTGTGTTAAGCTGTTAGTTTCTTTTTGTTTCCTTATCCATATTAATTTATGCATTGATTGATTATTTTTATCAGCAAGTAACTAGTCGTTTAGAATTATAACGATAATCTACGACTTCTGAGCTCAGTTCAGAGTAGCAAAACACATAATGGACATATGCCTGAGGAATGCCGAATGTACAGATGTCATAACCAAACAAGATTTACATGGCTAAAATCAAATCCTAACTCCTGATTTCCTAATAAGCACCACAGATAAGAAGACTGGAAAAGATGAGCACGAACTCGGATCAGTGTAACCATCTTAGCCCCCAAGGATGAAGGCTTTGCAAATTGTCCGTTTCTCGTCCCATGATCACCTGGCCAGAGGCCTCGATCCTGCACCAACAAAGGAGATACATACATATAAGGATGTAGAAGATGCTACAATTAGCTGACTGAGTTCGGTCTTGTCTACTAAGTGGGAATAAGATCCCTGTTATGCGGCTTAACAGTTTCTGTTTGGTGTTGGAACCGATGTAGCCATCACAAACAACACCGCGGGAAGGGGGGAAAAGGCAATAAAGATTTCAAGAAGCATATGGCCTTATTGTGTGATTGTTAAGATTTCAAAAGAAGAACTCACTGCTTGGTCGCTTCATGTTCCTGCAGAACTTGCTACCGCACTTGCACTGAAATTTCTTGTTGGGTTGATCATTGTCATCATCGAAGTCGATGCCATAATCCTGCATGGACCGAACATCAATTTTTCAAGAAAAAATCCAATGTGGCAATGCAACAATATGAAAATAAATTATATTTCTAAGATTCTATCCATGCAAATAAAGTGTTGGGTTCATTTGTATAGATCCACGCACCTAGCAAAGAAATACATCCCCCACCACAAAGTAAAAAAAAAACTGAGGAGAAGAACCCTCACTTGCTGAAGCCAGGCAATTCTCAGCTCAGGTTACTAGTAATATCAGTAGAACTACCAGTAGCATGTCGAGAAATGAAATTGCTCACCCAAGTCAACTCTTCCAAGGCATCCACCTCTCTTGTTGTGAAGAAGGCCAGCTGCGAAATATCAACAGTAAGACATCTAAGCTTTGAGGTGCAACTACAAAAAGTTTAGTGTCATTACATGAATAAAGTACTCTGAGCAAAGCAATACATACGTGATAATAGTGATGGTCCGGGGTTTCAATCTTAACGGGGATCTCAATTAGATTGGCATCAAGGCACCTTGCAGGAAAAAAAGAAAATGATATTTGCCAGGTTGGTTAACTTTAAATAGATAACAGCAACAAATCCAAACATGTAGGTTATGGAGAAATGATAGGAAGTCAGAAAACAAAACCAGAGAAAGAACCACAACAATGCAGTAAAAGTATCCATGAGATAGAAAGAACTACCTGTGGTTAATAAACCTGGCAACATTACTATAGAACGACGCATCCAAACAGAGATACTCTTCATCCTTTAGAGCCCCTTTCAAGTTCCAATACGCATCCAACAGAACTGAAGGGGGGTTCTCAGTCTTGGTAATACTTGAGTTTTGCATGGTTCTCTCATGCCGTTCTTTGATGGTCAGAATTTCTCCAATGTATTCACAAACAAATGCACCTTTCGGCAGTTTCTCCAGGGTTTTAAGACCCCATCCCTTTCCATCAGTTGTGAAGAAAACCTGATGCCCAGAATCAATCATTCAGGCAATATATCAAAACAAATAACAAAAAAAATATATATTAAAAGAGTGTGGGATTAGAAGGCCCCGACCATACCTGCAACTTGCGCCTGATACCTCGTTGTACTACTCGATTTCCACACTGCTTATGACAGCCACATTTTCTCCAGCACTCCTTTATAAATTTCCTGTTCAGGTGACCTTTGCATGGCTCTAACATTTCTTCATTTCTGGATCTCTCCAATGGGCAATCCATACAGGAGGATATGGATTGTAGCTGCGGATCCCGAGTCATGGAGATGCATTCTTGCAGGAAGTCATCTTTGAGAAGACCATCTGCTGTGTATGCAAACCCATACAGAGTTTCAGCAACACAAACACAAGGAGATGATGAAGAAAGGCAATTCCCAATACAAGATGTACAACAATGATCTTCCGTGATCTGAGAAAGAGTGAACTTGACATAGGCATTTTGAAACACAAGGTTTCCTGGTATATAGTGAAAGGATGGTGGGCACTCATTGTTGACTTCATTAACCCATGGAATCTCAACTACTTCTTCTCCCTTAGTGATGTCATTTGAGTCATGAAGAGACCTTAACTCATCACGACCTGTCTGATATCGTGGAACGACTGCTAAGCTGCAAGATTCGGGGTCTCCTGATCTTGATCCAAAGCCATTTACATCACCACCATTGGGGATCACATGCTTACTCAAGGAATGAACCAACTTTGGAACTTGAGGCTCTGGATCAACAGATACATCAGATGGGGCCTCATTATTTCCATCGGTGCCCACAAGGCAAAGAGCAGTAGAAGCATCAGAATTCTTCAACTCATAATGTGTTTCACTGATTACCCCCCTTTCCTGCGATTCATGAGATGAATCAGTCGCTAATTCCACGAAGCACTGACACATATCTTTCATAAGTTGGATGAGAGAAAAGTTTGGATCAAGTAATTTATGCCGGAGAGATTTCTCCTCCACTGATTTCAGCAGTTCATCCAGAGTTGGCATGTGAAAATCTGGCCTTCCAAACAAAGGTTGGCAGCTCAAGGATATCTTCACCTCTCCTGAAGGGGATGAAGCGATTTCCAAGTTAGAAGAGGGCTTGCTAGTTTGGTCTCCAAGATCAGCATTATTACCATTGCTCGAATCTGCAAAAAATAAAGAAAGTGATTCACTCGTTAGGAAAGCGTCTAAGAAATTTAAATGATAATATTGTAGGATGATTTACCGGGCCCTATTACTGCAAGAGGAAGCTCGTTGAGAGGCATCTCCTCGGTTACTGGCTCATCTTTAGGTACAATCAGGGCACTGATGTCAGGCAGTTTTCGCTTAAGTGGAGAACCAAGACGTATGGATTTTTCTCCTGAAGCAAGGTGCCTTTTATCTCTAGCAGGACCCTGAGATGACATAGGCTTTTTTCCTTTGTTTACGAGCTGCTTCTGAGGCAAACATTGTTCCGATGGAACAATTCTGTCAGTTACTTGTTGCTGCGATGAACTTCTCTGTGCAGACGAAGGCTGGCTGGCTGCACTTGTAGCAGCATGTTGGGGAGATGGACTTCTCTGCGTGGAACTTGTGGAAGGTGGATCTGTATCCTCCCGTTTTGGCTGCTTCAGCAAATTTCCATTGGTTTGGAGGCTGTGGTTTCCAGATGAAGGGGACACCATTCCTTCTTGGTCTCTTAAGCGCAATGGACGAAGCCGTTTTAGTGGTCGTGGAGGAGGTTCTTCATCCTGAGCATCTTCCTCAAAACTTTCCTCCTACATCAAGGGTACCCACAGGCACACATCAATTCAAGAAAATAAGAAAGATTTTTTTTTTATGAATCTGCACCACAATAACAATATAACAGAGAATCCAGACCACTTACATCGACCGGCTTCTTGTTTCCCGATGCCTGAGTCAACATGCAAATACCACACAGCAACATTAGAGTCAACAAAGAGGTGAGTAAAAAAGAAATTTCAGGCTAAGAACTAGGGGGGAGCATGCACCTCCTGCTCCTCAAGTAGAGCGTCCAGAAGAACCCGGTAGTTATCTTCTTCAATTAATGAGATCTTTTTATTGTACAACTTCAGAAGCCTTTTCAATACAGGCTTCACTACATCCTCCGTGAATCCCATCTCCCCCATGGTCTGGAAGACTTTAAGCACTCTGGGATTTACCGGCATGGTTGATTGGCCAAAGAGAAATCCCTCACTACCACCCTAGCACCATAAGAAAGTAAAGAGGGAAAAGCGAAAACTAAAACCTCAGTGTTCCCGTTCCAAGTTGAGAACCCTCAATGCCGAATTGGAAGGGGAATCAACTGAAAAGAATCAGAGGCTCAAGTTCGATAAATAAACATGAAAAGCAACGACCTTATAGCACATGCGAACACAACTGCAATTCCCACAATTTGAAAGACGGGTCTCAGAAACCCAGAGGTACATCATCCAAACACAAAAAGATTCCAATCCCGACCCATGAAAATCACATGCAGGTCACTAGAGTGGACGGCCGCTTGAATTTTCGGCGTTTGCGGAGAAGAGAAAATAGCAATGTGGGTCGGGAATCAACAATACGGAAACCCTAACGCTGAACAAGGAAAGGAGCGGGAAAATGCAAAACCTCGGCACGGCGGAGCGTCGGAAGCAAACGAAGCGGTAACAACAGGCAAAAAGGGGAACCCAGAGCGACGGGGCTACAGTCGAGAAATCAAAACAGAAAGGAAATGTAGTCTATGAGATGAACTTACAGTAGAGCACAGAGAGGGTGGGAGTGAGAGCGAGGAGCCCAGCGCCCGCAAGTCCCAAGCGAGTGAGTGAGTGTGTCGATCACGCCGCGGAAGCAAGGGAAAAGGAAATTAGAGTGGGAGGGAGAGGGAGAGTCGGAGAGAGAGTGACAGGGCGAGCGGAAGCAAAGATACTAATACATTACAAGAGCTGAACGTACGGGGGCGTTTGTTTCAACTTTCAACGAAAAGAATGTTAAAACACCCCCATAAAGTAAGGTTTAACGTCCCTTAATTTTTCAATTATTTTTGGATGTATGGAATTATGGGAATAATTGTACTTTTATTTTTCATAAATTCAATTACCTTTCGAAATTATGACTACCGTAAAAGTTGTAGTCCTTAAAAAGTTATGCGGAATCAAAATAATTCATGACGTTCAGAGTGTGGAGCATAAAGGTATGGTCGTCCAAGTTTAGCAAAATCAAAACATTGCTCGTTCGGAGTAGCAAACGACGTTTTTTTCGGGACGAAGGCAGACCCTAATTGCCTACAAAAGTTTGTAGCTTGTAAGATCTCGAAAAGTTATGCGGAATAAAAAAAAATGGAAGTTTGCAACTTGTAAGATCTCAAAAAGGTATGCGGAATCAAAAAAAAAAATTCGCTACGATCGAATACCCGAGCGCAAAGTTACGTTCGTTTGAAGTTTCGGCCGAGATTAGGAGTTGATCGGGAAAAAAAAAGAAGTTGGAAACCGCTGGTGGGGGTGGGGGTGGGGGAGAGCGATTTTCACCTTAACCGCTCCTTCCCCGGTGGTTTATCAACCCTCCCCCTGCGGTTTTTAGCAAAAATAGCGCCCTCTCCAAGCTGTTTTCAAAAAAGTGTAGTAGTTTTGGAATTTTTCTTAAATGACTGATATTTTTGGAATTTTTTTATTTAGTGGTATTCCTAGAAAAAATCCCATTTTTTCAACTTTTTTTTTTAGAAATAGTGACACTTAAGCCTCTAATTCATTAAATATAAGGGTTATTACATTATTTTAGCTCGAACTATGACCATATAATCAACTTTGGCACGTGGTTTCAGAAATTAACATTCTGGCATCGACTATGTAGCATATAGACTAAATTGGCCCGACACAAGTTTTGACCGTCAATTTGGACGGTCAACACCATTGACTGTTAGTCAACAGGCCATGTCATTGCTTAGTCAGCCTAAAAATCATTAAAAATTGAAATTCAAATTATTTTTCTAATTATTATTTATCATTTTGAAATTAACCAAAATTAAAATTTAAAAAATATAAAAAAAATTGTATGTTTTATCTTTTGGGACATGTGAAAATGGTAAATTTAAAAAAAATATTTAACATTTTATTTTTGGGTAATTTAAAAAATCTATAATAGTTTGATAATTTATAAAATGTTTCATTTTAAAATTACCAAAAAAATATATTTTATGTTTTTATAATGTTTTATTAATTTGATAATGATAAATAATAAAAATTAAAAAATAATTTGAATTAGAAAATTTATTTTTTGGTTTATGTTTTTTATATTTCCTACATTTATAAAATTTAATTTGATAATTTGTTTTAATTTATAAAACTATCATTTTCAAATATCCCAAAAGATAAAACATAAAATTTATTATATATTTTTTGAATTTTAATTTTTGGTTAATTTCAAAATGATAAATAATAATAATTAGAAAAAAATTTTAATTTCAAAATTTTAATGATTTTTAGGGTGACTAGGCAATGACATGGCGTGTTGACTAACGGTCAATGGTATTGATCGTCCAAATTGACGATCAAAGCATGTGTCGGGCTAATTTAGTCTATATGTTGCATAATTGAGTCCAGGATGTTAATTTCTGAAACCACGTGTCAAAGTTGATTATATGGTCATAGTTCGGGCTAATTTAGTCTAGTTCTGTGCCCGACCCTTAGCCGGGTTGATCTTGGATTGTCCTTTAGCTCTTTGCCTTCCAGAGGAGAATAGACTCTCTGATCATTATGCCCTGTTCACTTCTGATATTGTTTTTTTTTTGTGTCAATCAAAATCAAGAATCAAATTATAAAAAAATGTGTTCACTTGTAATTTCATTTTTTGTTTGCAAAATCATTTTACACAAATGAGATACTGGGCAGAAATTATAAAATCCAGTTTGTAGAATGAGAGGGGTTTTCACGTTTTTTAGCGGAAAAGCGTCATTGTGGTTAATTGAGCTAAAACCTCGCTCGACTGGAATCCAATAGGGGTGGAAAACGGGACGGGATTGGGCAGCCGTCCGTTTGAAAATGGGTATGCAATCCCATTTGAATACCAAAGTTCATCTCATATCCCAAATGAGCGAATAACCTCTAATCGTGCACTAGGACATGGATTGTGACATGAGCGAACAACCTAGCATAAAATCGACTTATATAAGGGTGTTTCCAAACCAAATGACCAAGAAACGATCAAATTATAAGGGCAAAATATGTATAATTATGCACACATCATAATCTCTCATACTTAATTGTTTGGTGTACAAGACAATATTCACGAAAGGAAAATGGTTGAAAGTCAGTTACGACAAATCATAAGGGTGGAGGAAAACAATGAATCACAAATGACCATTAACATCAACACATAGAGCAACACAATAGAGACACTAGCAACCACCACATATGACATTTGAACACAATAAGTTTATTCCAGTATACACTCCTCATCATAATTATAAAACCTCTCTTCAAATACATTGAATCAATCAAAACCCCCAACTATCAAAACATAGAAAGAAAGTCACATAGAACAAGATACCAAGCAACTTTATAATATAAAAATGAACCACTCTCACTTTACCAGTGGTGTCGAGACCACAGTTTATACAAAAGATGTACATGTTATTGTATTATGAAGAGCAAAATATCAAACAACTGCATTTTCCAAAAAACAACTCATATTCTGATTGTAGTTTGTTGTTAGTAGTCAAAAGGGACTCGAGGATGATGCTTGACCCTGCTGTTCTGATTCAGTTTTTTCTCTAAATGTCTATTGTTGTCTTTGGTAGGATTGGTTTGAAGTTGATTCCTACTGTTCTCTAAGTCTTTTTGTCTCTTACTCAGCTGGCAGAGTGTGTTGCCAGTAGTAATTGGTTCTTTTTGATGAAATGATAAGCCTAACCGATTCATCAAAAAAAAGGGAGGAAATTGTCAAACTGTAGAAGTTCTTAGCCTCTGAGCTAGAAAACGACTCCTGTTTTTCAATTTTCAAACTTTGTGACTGTTCTCTCTATTTTTCTTTTTTTATTTATATTTTGATGAGCAAAAAATAAAAATAAAAACCACATTTTCCAAAAAAAAACTACTTCAAATCTCATTACATGGTGAAGCAAAAAAACCATGTAAAAAGAAACAGGAGTCAAATACATATAGGCTTGAAGAACAAGGATTGGCATCAAACAATGTGGTAGTAAGAAACAACAGGTTAAACCTCAACGGAGTTGATTAATGGATATTTGATATTATGATCAGGGTCAATTTGGTCGTGAGCTAAACATATACCTTCATCTTCCTAATTTGTGGTTTCGTGATTCGTTTTCTTAAAAAATTATAGACAATTCATGCAAAGACGGAACTAATCACACAAGAAAGAAATGAATAAGAACAAATCTCACATGACTAACTTGATGCTCAATTTCACATGCACATCTCTAGCTCTCTATGCCTAACCAACCAAATAGATTCTTCATGCAGTTCTGCCATATAAAAATCTTGACACGAGACACAATCTCACTGCAATTATCAATCATCATCATAGGTCACATACAATCTCAATCACAATACTCATGCATTGACACTAATGACTAATGAGCCACAAGATTCACACACAAGTTTAAAAGGTGGCCACTATGATCATGCACTATAGGTCAAATATGCATGGAGTCCAAAAGTTTAAACATTTCGACAATGGTCTAGACTCCAAGCACAAACAAAGCATATAATCATTCATAATCAATCACCCGACCCCCGCTCCTGTTCTCACACAGACACACACTTAAGTACGACATCATCCCAAATTAAGGAAAGATCGGGAAAATGGGGCGCAAAGTTACCAAACATATGACCAGTGTTGGAACGACTGGAGAAGGACCCGTCACACATTAGAAAACACATTCAAACACTCAAAATATGCTAAGTTATTAAACATGGAAGAAAAGCAACAAAAACAAAAGCAAAGAGTTACAGAAGAAAAGAAAACAAAAAAACAGAAAATGTCCTAGGTGTCATCACTCTGGTACGGGTTAGGTCAGGTGCAGGAGCCCACAGCGACTCAGGAGCTTCTCCTGCATAGCGTGAGTGCGACGCCGAGCCCTCCTCTCTCGAGAAAGACGATCCTAGATTAGTGCAGCTCGGTGCTCCAAGTCATCTAGACGGCCAGAATAGTGGTCAGTGAAAGGACCCATCTGGTTGTTGTACTGGGGCGTCGGAGGTGGAGCGTGGTGAGGTGGTGGTGGTGGTGGAGCCTGATTATGTGGATTTGGTATCTACTCCTCCTCCTCAGGTGAGCCTCTTGCGTCAACCACAACTTCATGGGCAGTCGCTGAAGCTGCATGAGGAATAGATGGTTGCAGAAGGCGCTGGATATATCGGATGCCGTGCGCCTCTTGTAGAAGCTTCATGTTGACCAGTGTCGACTCTGGCAGGTCAATGGAGCGGCCGACAAGGGTTCACGGTGTGAGGTCGATGCCGAGCTAGCGTGCGATCCGGGTGATGTAGGGTCCTCCGTGCATGGTTCGGACCCGGGAGCTGTTGCAGATACGGGAGAAGGTGATCCCCAACACCGAACCAAGATGAATCTCGTGGTCCGGCTGGAGCATGGTGTGGAATGCATACATCACCCTCTGTGTGACCTACCTGGCGCATCCATGCTAGGGAAGATCGAACGAGTCAGAAGCACAGTGAGAATGCGCCAGGGAGAGTGGAAGTGGGAGGCCCTCGTCTTGCTGGCCATGTAAGTCTTGTTGCTCAACTGCGGATGGCAAATCCGAGTATAGAGAGCCTAGAAGTCGATCGCTGGAGTGTCTGGCTCGATTGTCCACATGCCCCCCGTGTCGATGCCTAAGTCTCTGGCTAGCTCCTCGTAGGACATGGAGTGTCGGACCCCACCGAGATGAAGGTGACATCTCCTGGAGTGCAAGGGGTCGTTTTCCGGTTGTGCGTGAAGGTGCAGTAGAACTCCAGCATAAGATCTCGATAGATGTCATCGGAGAAGCCCAGAAACTCCCTCCACACAACGTGAAGGACAGCAGCAGCTATCTCCGCCCTATAGTGGAGAGGCTCGAAATAGTCCAGGTTCAGCCTCCAATGCGGGCCATTGGCAGCGTGCTGCCACTCTGGATATCGATTCTTAATGGCTGCTCTTGGCATGTGATGGAGGTAGGGATGTAGGTGGACCTCCATAGCCTGAAAACAGAGAAAGATACCCATGCATAGACAGTCAAAAGGGTTAGAATTGAAGATACGGAAGAGGGAAAATTTGTCTCACACTTGAGCACAATCGGGCACGAAGAAGCCATAGGTGAGACGCATAGAGGCCAAAAGAAACCATGGAGATGAAAGTAGGCACTTATAAAACACATGCAAAGCTAGAGCAAGCATAATCCTCTATGGAACCTCGAGAAACAAAGCCCCCAAAACGACATCAAGTCATGAAGGACAACAATACAGGTAGGAAAACAATAATACCTGCTCGGCAGATGCGTCAGGTTCTAGAGGCACCGACGGCGTGACTTTCTCAAAAAGACGACTTCCAGTGGTGGCTGAACCTTTCAGTGACGAGCTTGGAAGTCGGCGGCCATTTCTGGCAGAATCAGATGGGGCTTCACTATTTCCATCAGTACCCGCATGACAAACAACATCCGACGCACAAGAATTCCTCAACAGATCATCAAAATAAGTTTCATTGGTTACCCTTTCCTGCAATTCACGAGAGGAATCAGTTGACAATTCCACAAAGCAGTGACACATATCTTTCACAATTTAAGCTTTTAACGAGTAATTTATGTCGTCGGAGAGATTTCTCCTCATCAACAAAATTCAGTAGTTCGTTCAGAGTTGATATGTCAACATCTTACCTTCCATGCAAAGGCGGGCAGCTCAAAGACATCTCACCTCCATTAAAGGGGATGGAGCAGTTTCCAAGTTTGAAGAGGACTTGATAGTATGATCTCTAAGGTCAACATTATTCTGTGGCTCTCGTGAAGTCATTACAATATCGCCAACTGAAGAAGTATCTCCATCACTAGAATCTGCAGAAAGTTAAGAAAGTAACTCAACTCATTAGGAAAGCATCTAAGAATTTATAATGGAAATGTTTGTTCTACAATATTCTATGATGATTTACCTGACACTATCACTGGCTCATCTCTAGCTATTGTCGAGGCATTGGGATCAGGCACTTTTCGCTCCAGTGAAGGATCAATATGCATGAATTTTTCTCTTAAAACAAGAGGCCTCTTATCTCTTGCAGGAACCTAAGATGACATTGGCTCTTTCCCTTTATTTACGAGCTGCTTCTGAAGCGAACAGTGTTCCAATGACACAGTTCTGTCAGTAACGTGTTGGTAAGATGAACTTCTCTGTACAGATAAAGGCTGGTTGCATGTACTTGCAGCAGGATGTGTTGTAGATTGTGAATTTCCATTGACTGTCAACACCTGCATGGAACTTGTGGAATGTGTATCTATATCCTCCTGTTTTGGCTCCTTTAGCAAAGTTCCATTGGTTTGGGGGTTGTAGTTTCCAGATGAAGGGGATACCATTGCTTCTCGGTCTCTTAAGCGCAATGGACGTAGCCATTTTAGCGACCGTAGAGGAGGTTTTTCATCCTGAGCATCTTCCTCCAAGCTTGCCTCCTACCTCAATAGTACCAACATGAACATATTAGTTCAGGTAAATGAGAAAGAAAAGGAGGAAAAAAGGACCACAGATTTGCACAAGATTAAAAATTTGGAGAATCTCGACCACATACACCAATAGTTTTCTTGTTTCTTCCTGATACCTAGGCCAACAAACAAAATATCACACACACCATTACAGTCGTCAAAGAGGTGAGGAAAAAAATTAATTGTTAGGCTGAGAACGAGGGAAATATTCACCTGTTGCTCCTCGAGTATAGCATCCAGAAGAACCCGATAGTTATCTTCTGCAATTAATTCGATCTTTATATCATACAACTTGAGAAGCCTTTTCAATACAGGCTTCACTACATCACCCTCGTATCCCATCTTTCTTGTTGTCCGGAAGATCTCAACCAGCCTGGGATCTGGCGGCATGGTTGATAAGCCAAAGAAAAATCCCTTACTACCTCCCTAGCACCAACCAAGCATTCAAATCATTCTAGTATCAACCACATTGTTTCAATTACTGATAACACAGTCACACAAGAAAATCGGACGCGGAACCAACTGAAAACAAATCGAAGACTCGAGTTCGATAAACATGAAAATGCAACACAATTGCCCATGTGAATATGACTGCAACTCCTAGAATATGAGAGACTGGTCTGAGAAAACCCAGAGGTATATCCATTGAAATTATGAAGAAAAAAAAAGATCCCACCCCACCCATGAAGAAGCACATGCAGGTCAGTAAAGTGGACGACCACTGATGTTCCGCTTCAATTTTCTAGTTTGCAGAGAAGAGAAAACATCAATGTGGGTCGGGAACCAACAACACATAAACCCTAACTCCGAACAAGGAAAGAAGCGGGAAAATGCAAACAGTCAGCACATCGAGTAGTTGCAATACGAAGCAACTGAAGAGGTCAAAACAAGGATTAAAAAATCGGTTCATACAAAAAAACCTCATACCGGATGTTCAACTGATAAGTGGTACTTAAATATATGAAATGGTTGAACCACGAATTAAACCAAGGTTTTAGCATAAAATCCATATTACTGACATTTCCGGTATAACCTCCGATACGATATTTCAATCGTAGATAAAAACAGGGAAAGGGAAACACGGGGCGCAGTAGCGACCGTACATAAACCAAAACTGAAGGGAATCTATTGTATGAGACAACTTACAATCAACCGTCGTGGGAGTGGAAGTGAGAGTAAGGAGAGCAGGAATCGCAAGTCTCAAGTGAGTGAGTGAAAACAATAACAGATGATTCATAAATAAATAGTGATAAAATGAGACGTTTGATCGAGAAATGAAACACCTCATTTTTAAAATGGTGTGTTTATCAAAGTGGACTAAGTTTTGACGCAAAAAAAAGGGGACAAGTAAATCGGCTGCTCAACTTTAGCCTTTAGTAAGCCCACTCAAATTTAAGATTTGCCTCGTAATTGTTTACTGTGTAGGGATGACAATTTTGACCTGATCCATTTTATCCGATCTGTTTGGTATATTTTGGGTAGGTTGGATCCACTCGGTAGGTGGGGTGGGGTGGGGCGGGCATGTGTATCTCTAATCGACCCGATCTGCCCTGACTCGCCCCATTCTCGATCCTTTCTTGCCTAAATTACATATCATATTATGGTTTATTTCTTGGTCTTTTAATGAAAATAACGAATATTTCTAATTTTTTTATATAAATTACATACTCATTGGGACGACCTGCCCCGACTCGCGCCCCGTGATAAATTACCCGACCTGCCATGGGGCGGGTATGGGTGTCGAGATACCCGCCCCGGACCTACCCCTTCCTCACTGTGTGAAATTGGTTTAAGTCGTTGAATCAGTCTAATAGCTGGCTTGAAATTCAATGATCAAATCAGAGCCTAATTTGTTTGAGCCATTTAATACTTTTTTACCCGATCCCTTGGTTAGATGAATTTTGTTTTATTTTATATTGATCAATTTCTTCATATTTTTAAATAATTTTGGATTTTCAAAAATAGTTAATTCATTATTTCAAAGTGATCTTAATGGTATTTGTTGATTATGACATTAGCGGTAATTAGTTAATATTTTTTTATCAAGTTGTCCTAGTTTACTATTGTGTATATTTTTTTTCATGTCGTTGAAGAAATTTTGCACTTCTTATTATCGGATTCAATTCGAAGTTGGAAGAAAATATATATCATTTACAATTGATAGGAATTGAAGGTATTTTAAAAAATTAAGAAAATAACAAAAAGGTTATGCCTCGAAATCTTAAATATGAAAAACATGAAACAATAATATTTATTGTATAAATTTTTATAATTTAGGGTATAAGCTTGCTTGAATAATAAGTGGAGTTGTTAAGTGTTAGATGCTAATACACACAATAGTTAAGAAAATTCAAATATTGTAAAACTCTAAATTCTACTCTACTAATACAATTTTTTGAATTTTCATGTGGAGTTAATAGTATAAATTGATACTTTATTATTGTGTTTCCTCATATATATCCCTCTACTACTTTCACATCAAACATGCCCGTTGTTACAATTTCTCATAAAATCTGTTAAATGAGAAACATGGTAACTCCCAATAATTAATACACACAATCACATCCTCCATCCGTTCCCCTTTCTCTTTCTCCGACCCAACAACAATTAAACGCAATTTTTTTGTCTATCACGAAAGAAGCTTGAAAACCGACATTTGAATTTCTATTGAACTCTCTTTAAGTCCTTAATTATTGATCGATTTGACTCAATCATTAAAATTGGAACCCAATTTTTTTTTTTAATATGGATTTCAAAGTATCAAAGGTTGTCAACCGGTTTAGCCCGTTGGCCTGGTCGAGTAAGTGGGTTGAGGGTTGATAGTCCAATAGTTTTAGTCTAATTTTGCCCGAATATATGAAAAAGTCATTATATTGTTCATACATTTGTAAATTATATAAAATCTCATCTACATATGGATAATATTACATACAACTACTCCTGTGGTTTCATATCACTATGGTCTAGTGTTGATTACTGATCCAAAACTAAAGACCCATCCAAAACCATTTAAGTACTTTGTCCTCTGCAGTCTCATCCTTCATATTTGAATATCATTAAGGTGGCATGGAAAACAGAAGTGTAGGGTAATCCCCACAATATCTTTTATGGTAAGCTGCGTCATGTACGATTGGGACTGATAAAGATGAATCAAGAAGAGTATTCAAACATCTCGGGGAGGGTCAAAGCTGCTGCTGCAGCATTAGAGGAGGCTCATGTGTAGTGTTGGACAATCCTACAGCTGAATTGATTGATTTTGAGAAGCAGAAAAGTTTGGATTATTTGTCTTTAAGTCAAGCAGAAGAGTCATTTTATAAGCAAAAATCCGGAGTCCAGGTTATTCAACAAGGGGATGCTAATACTTCCTATTTTCATAAAAAGTAAAAGTAAGAACTCAGAGGCAGCTAATTACTCGTATGATAAATGACCAGGGATAAGTGATAACTGATGTGAAAGGTATTGGGGATATTTCCATTGCTTTCTATACACAATTGGTTGGGTCTGAGGATGTAAATGTGGAGGAGCAATCAGTGGATTATTACAAAGAGCTCCTGCACCATTGTTTGACTTCAGAAGAGAGTAATATGTTAATGGGGGACTATTAGAATAGAAATTCGTCAGTCTTCAATAATTTGGGCAAGGACAAAGCACCCGGTCCAGATGGCTTCCTTGTTGAGTTCTTCAAAAAGCACTTGGATATAATTGGGAAGGAAGTGGAAGAGGTAATCCTTTCTTTCTTCTCTACGGGGCATTTACCTTCAATTGTGAACAAAAGTACAAAACTATCTTCACATTGGTTGCTAAACTGCCTTGCTCTGAGAAGATGGAAGATTTTCGATGGGTCTCTTGTTGTAATACTCTATACAAGGGCATCACTAAGTTGCTTGCCATTCGTATTGTTGTGGTGCTTCCTAATCTAGTCAGTAAATCACAGTCTGCTTTCATTAAGGATAGCGCTCTTAGTGATAATATCCTGCTAGTGTAAGAATTAGTGAAAGATTACCATAAAAAGAATATAACTCCGAGATGTGCTGTCAAGATTGATATCATGAAAGCATTTGATTTAGTTAATTGGGGGTTTCAGTTCAATGTGATGAAGGCAATGGGCTTCCCCTCTGGTTTTCTTAAGTTGGTAAAAACCTGTGTGACAACTCCAGTTATTAGAGTAGCGATTAATGGAGGTCTTTGTGGCATTATTAAAGCATGCAAGGGATTAAGACAGGGTGATCCACTGTCCTGCTACCTATTCACAATTGCTATGGAGGTCCTTGACTGTCTAGTGAAGAAAGAAGTATTAGAATGTCAAATCCCATTTCATCATAGATGTAAGCCCCTGTTCATCACTCATTTGTGCTTTACGGAAGATCTTATGATGTTTACTAATGGGTAGATCAGAGGTGTAGCAGGGATAAGAAGGCAATGGAGTGCATCGAATTCCTCATCAAGTCCTCCCTCACGTGTTTGCACAAACAAAGAACCTCACAAGTCACCCCCTGACGTGTTTGTACTCGATTGAGATCACTCGTTGTCTTACCACTCGTGTTTCACTCAACAAAATTGGCTTTTACCCGAAAATGAACTCACAAAGCCTCTTTCCACTCTTACTCCGAAACCCTAGGTAATAACTTCTCACTTCTCAAGTATTACAACCAGAAACCAATCAAGAACAACACACGAAATGACTTTCTCGCGTGATCTGATCTAGTTCCCGCCTTTTCTTTCCTTTGATTTTTGTTTTTTTAATATATGAACGGCTTTTTCCAGATGCATGTTACAATCGACAATGAAACTGAGAACAAGAACTGAAAATTTAGCCTCTCTTGGCGGCGGTTAAGAACATAAACCTGATTCGTCTGATTCTCACATAAGAAAGGAGGATACTTGTGTCACTGTGTTGAACCGGAGCTCTGATACCACCTAATATAAGTTGAGGCTCTAACTCCTGGACTTAAACAATCAAAACACAGCAAAGATTGATTAAAACACAACGATCACAAAGCGGAAAATAACCCAAACCAAATCCACGAGTCGGGAAGAGGACCAGGTATACAAAGGACTATTCGGCTAGGGTTAGGGCTGGTATTCGGTAACCGGTATTCGGTATAACCGGGTATCGAACCGATTACAATCGGTATTCGGTATATCGAATACCGCCAGTATCGGTATTCGGCTGCCATTTTCGGACAAACGGTATACCGAATACCGATTGGTTATATACCGACGGTAAATCGGTATAACGAATACCGAATTACAAAAAAAAAAAAAAAAGAGGAAAACGCAGCGCAGTAGTGGAATTGGGGAAGGGGAACCCTAATTCTCTAAATGGCTTTTGCTGTTTTGCATATGATCCCCGCGGCCCGCCCTCCAGCCTCCACTTCGTCTGTCGGCTG